CCCCCCTCCCCATTATAGTCTGTACAGGCCAAAAAAGACTTAAAGATGCTCAGGGAGGAGGCAGCTCCTCAAAAAAGCAGAAAAGAAGCCACAAAACATCTGTGAACAACAAAAAGAAGAGTAAAACTAGTAAGTACAGCAGCTCAGTGTGAAATGAAATGTGTGAAAGTACAGTGTCATTTGTTTGAATGATTGTAGGAGATGTAGTCTGGAAATAAAAAATGTATTAGCACAAAATGTTCTCATCAGGGAATTCTTAATACTGTTTAAATGAAGAAACTACTCTTGCTGAAATGCCAAAATGTTTTTAAATGTCTTGTGTTATTTCTGGGCCTATTTCTAAGAGGTCCTTAATACCGTGTAATTCAGGAAGACTAAGAAGAGTGAGTATTTCACACTTAGTACAATTGGGACCAGAATCTCTGTGGCATGATAGCTGCAGGTTTTAGAGGGGACCTTGATGGAATTATACTTTGTATTTTCTGCAAGATGAGTTTTTAGAGGTTAATAGCTCTTCCAGTAGCAAATCTGAGAATAATTCCAGAAAAATATAGGCTCTATTTTCTTCCTTTATCATCTGTTACATCTTCAGTAAATAATGCAGCTTTTGCAGCTTTTTTGTAGAAGCTAATTGGAATAGAAACCACAGTACTGGGGAAGAGAAGCTTAATAAAAGCAGAGGTGTATTAGAGAGACATATGCACATGTGTTCAGGAGACGGCAAGATCAATTACTGCCTCATCTCACTGTTAATAAAAAATACCAGGGAACAGTCAGCTGGAGAGTGAAGCCAGGAGGATAGCTGTAAAAAACGCAGTTAAAGCAAGGATAGAAAGCATATGCTATACCTTTTTTCCCTCTCCCCCCCGCCCCTTCTTTCTTTTAAAAGCTTTTACTAAAAGTCTATACTTCCTGGTCTGGTATTTGCTTTCACCTCACCCGTCCTTCGTGTTCATTGATCTCCTCTTCACATTCTCTCATCCTTTTTCATTCCATTTCACTAATCTCCTCCTTCCATAATCCTTATTCCTTCCCTCACCCCAGGAATTAAAGTAACAAAACAAACTGAATTTGCAGAACTAATACACTATTTTTAGCCTTGGCATTGTTCCCTTTTATTTGGTGAATTTATCCCTTTTTCTCAATCTATGTCTTCGTCAGGATGCAAGCACTTCAAAGCTAGAATTGTTTCTTGTACTGTGTACAGTCCTTGGTGTGTATGCACTTTTTATGTTAGAGCTGTATGTAATAAGGGCAATAAATAGATAAAATGTGGAGTCAGTTGTGAGTAAAAAATGCTTTTTGCAAAATTCAAGTGTACCAGTTAAAGCTGCTTTTGTAGCAGCTTCAACTCTTGCCTTTGCATTAAGCCAGTAGAGAACGGCAACTCTGCAGCCAGCTGAGTTCTTTCATACCAAGTGTATCTTGGTGTTCGGTTTCTCCAGTGTAGATCACCAAATCATAAACACCAGAACCTAGAGAGACTTTCAGGGTTCATTTTGTCAACACCTAGGGCAGGTACAACTGAGGCATAAATTTCTCTTGATAAATATTAATTGAATGCGTTTTTAAAAACCACTCTAATGTTGGGGATTTTGCAGCTTCCCTAGGCATTTTATTCCAGTGCTTCACTAGACTTCTGCTGAATTAAAATCTCTTGCTCTTGCTTCCACCCCAGTTTCATTTTTGTAACGCTAAACAAGCTTCATCCTTTCAATCATTACTCATAAATCATGTCTTTTAGACAGATTGTTTTGTTACTCCTCTTTGGGTGGTTTGATTAGAAAACTGCCTTCAGTTCAGCCTGTTGCTTTATAGTTATCTCAGTGTTATTTCAGTGTTTTGGGTCAGCTGAAGATAGTTTCTCTGCAATTAAAGAATTTGATCATCATGTCTGAGGATTTTTGTAGATAATGTCATGCAAATTCAGATTATTGCTAGTCATTTTAGCACAGAAAATCTAAAATAAAGGTGACATAAGGCTAAGAAAAAGGCCAATTGTTTACACTCATTTCTGCTACACATGTCCTAGGGGTACAGTGAAAAGCTTGTCTGTAACTAGTACCTTTAAAACAGGATACAGGTTTGTATATATCGAATGCTGTATTAGGAATTAATATTAAAGATAAACAGGAGATAGGACATAACAATCAGTCTTGCTAACTGTTTTAGAAAAAGTATAGTCCCATAAGCAGAAATACATGGATAATTTTTGCACCTGCATTGACACATGGACTGCCTCTTTGCCTTATTTTCTAATGTAGGCAATTTATTTATGGATATGGTTCTAAAGCAACAAGTGTGATGCTGTCTTGAACCGTTCAGAGCGTAGAGTGCACCTTTCCTATATGGACCTTGAACAGTTGGATTGTATTCAGGAATCTCCTTGCAAGAAGTGTGACCCTACCCTACCCCCTTATGTTCTTGCACACACGCTTTCAGCAATATCTGTATTCAGGGTGGATTGTGGAGCCACAGTCTGGTACTTCTATCCACTCTCTTTCTCTCTTTCATTTCCACAAGTCCACATAATAGCTATGAATATACCTGCAAAGCAACTAAATGGACCGTGTTTCCAGTGCAAGGTTTCCCTTTCACAGCATGCCAGAATTAGAGGGGCCCCCTTATATACCTGTTCGGTGGTCCTGTCTTTAGGCACTAGTGATGCAAAGAAGTGCGTGCTAAGCTTCTGTACCAGGATGGATTATATCATTTTAAAGTAAAAGGATTTTTGTCAAATAAACTCCTGTTACATGAAAATCAGCACAGGGGTAGCTTCTGATCAGCTTTGGTTTGGGTAGGAAGGTTGCTTTGTTTTGTAACACTGTATCTTCTTGTTTCCTCAGCAAACAGCAGTGACAGTGAAGAACTATCTGCTGGTGAAAGTGTGTCCAAGTCTCAGTCAGCAAAATCGGTTTCTACTGGCATGAAATCTCACCAAACCAAATCACCCGCAAGAACACAATCTCCAGGAAAATGTGGGAAAAATGGAGAGAAGGAGTCTGATCTCAAAGAACAGAATAATCGTTTGCCCAAAGTTTACAAATGGAGTTTTCAAATGTGTAAGTATTTTCTTCAAAATATGCCTAGTGTGGTCTTGCAGTATAGTATAAGAAGGCTTTTTGAATTTTGTGTGTTTTGGTTTTTTCCCCTAAAATTATTCCATCCTCAGTTTTCTTAATTTTGTGATAAATCCTGATTTTTAAAAAAAAATAAATTTTTTTTTTTGCAATTGCAGTGCAGGAAACTGCCTATATCGCACTCTTCCAATACTGTTTTTAGATATGGCTTCTGTGCTGACTTGCTGTTCTTGCCATCCTGTGCAGACCTGTCATTCTGGCATGAACATTATCCACTGTATGTGCTTCTTGTGTTGATATTTTCTTGCTGGTTTACTCCTCATTTTCTAGTTATTGTTCAGACAGTTACATGATTGATCTGTAACGTTTTCCCTTTCCATTTTGCCTTAGTGAACCAGGACATGTTTACTATTTCTAGTAATAAGAACTTTCAGTGTGTTTGTGTTGGTCAGCTACGGGTACATGTATAGCTAGGGGTGAGCAGTGTTGAAAGGACCATAGATTTGCCTATCTGAAAAACAGTTTAGTAGCTTATTAATGCCTCGATATTAATGCAACTTCTTAATTGCCTCTGTGTGCGTGCATGCTATTGCAGCATTACTTGCAGTGGGGAGAAAAGAGAAGTAAGATAAAATATTAGGTGATTAAAGCCTTCTTCCTCAATATAACAATAAGCAAACAATTGAAAATAATTACTTAAAAACAAAAACTTGCTATTTTTAGCCCTCTCTCTTACAGCGTCTGGGTGTTTAATTGTCTAGTCGGCAATAAATTGTTGTCCTTAGTACTGACCATGGATGTATAGCATTGCATGAGTTGCTTTCTCTTTGCTTTTAAAGGTCAAATTGAAACTGTGTGGTGTGACTGATTTAAATTACTTCTTAAAGTAAACCATAGTATCTCATTCAGTACTCACAGATGATCTTAGTGTACGTCAAGTTTCTGAAGTTCTCAGAGCATTTTGCTCTGTGCTTTTCTGTGCTCTGTCCCAGCCTGTGTGAAGACTGCTGTTCCTCATGTAAAGCGGGAATAGGAAAGAGCTGGCACAGCACATTGTGCAGACACATCTGATGAAATTCCTTTTTTTTTTTTTTTTTTTTTTTTTGCAAGCAGTGTTCTTTTATGCCCAGAGAATTCTCCACTTAGCCAGCTGTTTCTGTGGTGAAAGAACCTGACCCTGCGTTTTTTTTCTCTTCAGCTCTGAATCTCAGTGTTACTCTACTTTGAAAGTATTTTTCTCCTAGTACTTCATCACAGTCAAGTTACGTTCTGCTGCTCTTCAGGACTCTAATGTAATAGGTCTTTATTGTCACTTAACCGGCCTGCTGAGATTCATTGGGCAGATTTCCTGTGCAACACATTGAAAGAGCTTTTGCTCCTTCCTTTCTTTCTACCTTGGCTACATTGCACGTGCTAAATTTGCTTGGCAGAAGTTGGACTTTGGAGTGCTGTTTAACACATCTCCTGCTGTTGCAGAGGTCTAAGATACTTGCAATGTCTCTGAGCTTTCCTCATCTTCCCACGGCCCAATATAGTTGTGGCTTTTGGTTCTTTGGTGCTACCTTCATTATAGTTTGATGAATTGCATTCTGTGCCCCCCAGTAGTTTAAATGATTCTTAAATGTCTTCGAATAGAGTATCTCCAGTGTGGCTTACCTGTGGCTGAAAGGGACTGAACAGAGATGGCTCCTCCTGCCTGTGCCCCCCACAGCTGTGTGCCATGCTGTGGTGAGCTACCAGCTGGAAACAGCCGGAGGGACAGCTCCTGTGCTGGCCGTGTCCATTAACATCCCTGTGTGGGATGCCAGCGAGGAGTCCTGTATAGTTATACCTTATGGCCCATATGCCATGGACTCGGTTAGAACCACCCCATAGCTATTCAGATTCCTGTTGTAACCTGCTTCTTTTGTAACAGCCAGGACAAGTTGGGCAAGACTGGCCTTCCTGATGTATTAGGCCAAACTGAGCTCTAGCAAGGACTCAAAACAACAGGCTCAAAGCTAGTTTTGGCTCCTATGTTTTCACCAGTTGTCTTAATGTTTTCCTCTTTTCCTTCCTATGGGGAGGGGAATGCATGCATTTCCTTCCTCTCCCACTTCCTTAAAAAAAAAAAAGTGTATCTACGGTGGTATCTTTTAAAAAATAATAAAAAATGAACAAAGTTTGTGATAATAAACAGCAGCTGCTGTTGCTGTGGTTTTTGGCTTTGCTGTCTGCTACCTCAAAGCACATCACTAAGATTTGAGTACTTCACTGAAATTCAGAAGTTTTTGGAAATGCTGCAATACAATAATTGACAGAGATTGTTTAACTTGCAGCTGACTTGGAAAATTTGACTAGCGCCGAGCGCATAACGGTTCTCCAAGAAAAATTGCAAGAAATCAGGAAACATTACCTGTCCTTGAAATCTGAGGTGGCTTCCATTGACCGAAGAAGAAAGCGTTTAAAGAAAAAAGAGCGGGAAAGTAAGTGCTGGGAACTAAATTCTACTTTTAGAGGGTTAAATTGCATGTCATTTATTAAGGTGTTAACAAGAATTGGATAATTTTTAGGGAGATGTGTGCCATTAGGAGTGTGGTTTTGTTTGTTTTTTTAAAAACACTGTATACAGTTATGATCTTTAGAAGGTATGGTTCAGCTATCCAGTGACCATGTAAGGGGAGAAACATTAAAAAGGCATGCAATCTATATAATTCTGTTTAGGCAGAAATTACTTTATACAGAAAAAAAAAAATACAGAAACATAAACTTTTCTAAGCAGTGAACAAAGTATGTAAGATTATTAATAGCTTAGAATTTTTCTTCAAGTTAACAATAATTTACTAGAGTATTGCTTCTATGTCTAGTTAGTGTCTTGCCCTTAGGATAAATGATTTATTTTATGAGTTTAAGGGAGACCATCAATTAATCTCTCATTTCCCTGAAGCTGCTTTACCTATTGCTGTAGGCAATGTTCTAGTGTGCCTGCTTCTAGCAGCATTAAAAGGATTTTTTCTCCATGTCTTGTTTATGTGCACATTTAAGAGTTCACTGAGTATAAGAAGAAAGACTGAAATGCTACGTGTAGTAAGATTTTATGGCTGCAACCATCACACGGGAACTGCAGTAGCTGCTTGGTTGCTGGAGCAGGGTGTATGTGCAGATTCTGTGCTGGGACAAGGCCCTGCCTGTGCTGGTTCCCACAGGAAAGAAAGGGAACAGTTGACTGTGCTTGCGGGTCAGGAACGAGCTCTGGCATCCTCTGGCTGGGCCCTTGATCTGGGCGGTTGATGAAGCAGGGCTGCAGGGGGCAATGCCATGCTGTCTTGCACTTGGCCGAAGCTGTCTTGCACTTGGCCGAAGCTGTCTCTCCGAGTATTTCCCACAAAAACTAGGGAATGGAGGCTTTTTTCTTTTTAATTACTAGGCATTAGTTGCTGGAGTCAGTATATACCAATGCTTGTTGTTGAATGGGAAAACATTTTTATTGCTTAATTTATAGATTTTTATAACCTGTGTTCTCCTCTTCCTGTGCAGGTGCTGCTACTACATCATCTTCCTCCTCATCACCTTCCTCTAGTTCCATTACAGCTGCAGTTATGTTAACTTTAGCAGAACCGTCTATGTCAAGTTCATCACAGAACGGAATGTCAGTTGAGTGCAGGTGACAGCAGGACTTGCCAAAGCACTTTGCACTTAATGGCTGCTGAGGGCCACTCTTTTTTTTTTTTTTTTTTTTTTTTATACTGCACAGTGGCACAAAATTCAGACAAGCACTATTTTGTATTTAAAGTTGTTTCTTGACAAGCTAACTTTGCACTTAAGTGCACTTTTATGAAGAAAAAGTACAACAAACTGCTTTTCCTCAAGCAATAATTGTTTCCAACTTGTCTGGGAATTGTAAGTCTAGTGACCCGAAGGCCTTCCACTGTGGCAAATGGAGGCTGTTCACTGCCTGTAGAGACAGTACAATAAGCATATAGTTGTTGGATTGATCTAAATAGATGTGGTAAGGCTTACTGTATTCCCTGGTATTTTGTTAAAGCTGGAACATTTGATATTTTTCCATTTATTTATGACAAATATTGAACCTATTTTCATTTGTACAAGCTAATTGTTTTTTAACTGCTAAGTCACCTTATAGTGGCTTTAATTGTATACGTCAAGCACATGTATTCAATTCAAAACCTGCAGTTAGTAGGATGTTTGACATCAGTCCTGATAACCAAATACGAGGATTCCTTTACAAAAAAAAAAAAAAAAAAAGACTGACTAATGTTTACAGGTTTGAATTAGGCTTAAATAAGTTACTCTGGGTTTTAAGAACCCATTAATTGGAATTAAACTACTGTACTTTGCCATTTTTCTATAAAACAGTATTTTTTTTTTTAATTTTGATAAAATACATTATGAAAAAGGAAGAAAATGGCTAACAAACTGTATTAAATCTTAATGTATAAAGATTGTATTTAGCCAGTTTAAAGTGTATATTTATTCATAATGGATTATAACAGTTATATTTTTGTGTTTTCTTGTAAATGTTTCTTTTCCCTTAAAGCAACAAATATTTCATTTGTAATGCTTATTTTATTACGAGCTTCAAGGAGAGGACTTCAAGACGGATTAAAGTGTGAGGTTATAATTTGTGGTTGCTGATATGAACACTGCCACAAAAGGGTAGTTGTTTTTAAAATAAATAGCTAGCTGAGTGGTAGACATTTAATTTTTTAAATGCCTTGTACAAATTCCAAAACCAACTTCAAACTGTTTTCACTTGTATTGATTTTATGTTGTATGGATCCCAAGCGCTCTCCTGTTAATTATATACCTTTGTAAGACATTTGTATATTGCGGAAGTGTTCATTCAAGCTATTTAATACCTGGCACTGTTAATACACAGTACTTTATTGTACAGATTGTTTTACTGTTTTAATTGTAGTTCTGTGTACTTCTTTTGCCTGGGGAAATAGGGGCTGGCATGTTTTTCTTTGTTTTCTGGCAATACAACATGTAAGAATTCAGAGCATTTTGTTTGTAGATGCTAGAGTGTCAGAATCCTTTACATATGACTTTTCTAAGAAAAGCATTTTCAGTCTTCGTAGTGTGTGCTTAAGGTTAACTGATTTTATTGAAAATGGTTTCAAAGTATTCAGAATTGTACAGGACTGTAAAAATTTGTTGACAAACATTGAAGGAAAAGCTTATAGAAAAAAGCTATAAAATATATATTAGGTTCTGCAGAAAATGGAGAATTATGTAATATATTGTACAAATGTAAGCAAAGGCCTCTGAAATAAAATGCCATAGTTTGTGAATCCCTGATTTTGTTTCTAACAGTTTAATTAAGCAACCATAGTGTTTTCATTAAAATGACATCAAGCTGCAGAATCAGTTTAGCAAATGATCTTTGATATGGTGTAATAGGCACATAAAGATAAGCAGGTACATTGGCCTAATTTTCCTCTTAGCGATTAATTCAAATTCATCCTCTTTTTCAGCAGAATGGGAGAGCTTGGCCCATTGACATCATTAAGGCAGCACCGGTTGAGATAAAGATGAATTTTGATTCACGTTAATTCAGGTAGTTTGAAAATGTAAAAGCGAGCTCCTGAAGATATTTGCTGACTTCTAGTATCAACTGCCTCAAGTTCAGATTCAGTGGAAGTGAAACTGGAATAAAACTTATAGTGTTATCTGCTTACATCATGTCTGGCTGTAGTTCAGTTGACCAAAATACTGTTACACCTGCAAAATGGTAGATTATGGATGAGACTGATAAATAACAAACGATGATAAGCTTTGGAAACATGGACTGTGGTAACAATTACCAGGGATCTGAGACTGACTGAGGAGTAATTTTAGTAATTTCAGTGCGGCTATTCAGAGAATATTTACATATGTTTAAGTTTAGCAGAATTGGAGTCGGAATAGTTCAGTTCTGCCTTTCAGTCTCAGTAGGCGTAACTGGTATTGATTTAACTGGGAACTACATCTGAACAAGCAAGAGCAAATTCAGCTCTACCCTCACTACTAGTTCTTGATCAGCTCTCAGTGCCAGCATTTTTGCTTTGATGTGACAGTTGTTGACTCTCATGTTCTATGAGAGGATTTGTTTGTTTACTTGTTTGAAACAGGGATCATTAGTCATCTCCCCACTCTGAAACTGAGTTTTTGCATAAATAGGATTTTTGCTCTTCTTTAATACAGAGATTATTTAATTTTTGTTGTACTTCTCATGCAGTTTAATGACTAGTCAAAAATCTGTTCTGGATGTTTTATATTGCACCTCTCTGAAGTGTGTCAGTAAATGGTACTCTCCAGGTTCATGTTACTTGTGTCCCAGAGGTTGCAAAGGAAGGTACCTTTGGCAAGCTGTTAGCCAGGCAGTTTTATCCCATGTTCTAGCAAGTCAAATCTGAGCTTCTTTCCAGGTCGTAACACAGCTTTAAACGTGGGTGTGCTCCCTGCTTGGCATGCATGCTGTGCTTACAGCTGAGAAAGTTTCCCAGTAGCAGTGATTGCTAGGCTGTGCCCATACTCTTGAGTGCCTGCTTGGACCATGACCTGAAAGGCAAAGTGAGACAAACTACCGCTTCTTTAAAATCCTTTACACCTTGTCTGAGCGACAGAATCAGTTTTGTGTGTCTCATGTTTGATCATGTTGAGAATAGCTGAGAGTGTAGACTGTCCACATATGCTGAGAGAAAGCACACCTTGCTTGAAGGCTGTCCATGTTGCTCCTGACTCCCTTTATTTACAGTCTCCACCGATGCTTGTACGTACTTGTTACTGTGTAGTTTCCATCATGCCATGAAATTTTCCTGTTGCCACAGGGTTCAAACTCGCTCTCTGGCAGAGTTCCTGGAGGCTGTATGCCTTTTGCTGAGCTTCAGCAATTCCGAGTCTCTGAAGAATCAGCCAGCTGAACTCTTGTCCAATGTAATTTCAGTTGTATTTTGATGGTTCAGCCTGTTCTGCCCCACCTGTGTCACGTACAAAACTGCTCTGTTGTGTGAAGGTAGATTGGAAAAGCCAAATAAAAGTAGTCCAGAAGCCATCTGCCAGTTTTTAAGAATTTGTGTGTTCTCTTGGGCTGACCCCATCCATGAGGGTCCCTGCCTTTCCCAGCATCCAGAAGGCCAGACACGGGATGCCTGGTGCATGTGTCAAGACTAACGCTCTACCTTTATTCTGTAGCTGGATTACTTGTTTTGCCTTCAGTGAGACATTGGTGCCAACAAAACTGCTTAGGCTGGCAGTTCAAAAAGCGCGTAAAATGTTACAACAGAAGAGCTGTTGGTATTTGCTTCAGCCTTTAAGTGCCTGGTAATTTTCTACACCTTTCCAATTATTATGACATCCTCTAGCACTTAAAATTACATGCTGGACAGGCAGGTCTAAAAGGAAATCCCAATTAGGTGCCTAATTTCAGAGAGTTAGTAACAGATCAAACTTCGTTACTTATCAGCTGCACTGTGGCCTGGGTTGGAAACCAATCTGTTTCAGAATTAACAAAAAAGGGTCTTTTCCAGTTGGATCAGTTATCCAGTCCTATCCATGTAGCTGCAGCAGCAAGATGATCCAGTGCACTTACCTCTGCTGGCTACAGAGCGAAGCTGGGGAGAAGAGGAATGACTGGTTCCTTGTTTCCTGTCCCCCAGGCTATAGTCCTCAAATGCCCTGAGAAGTACTGGGTTTCAGGGATTTTTCATCAGAAAAACCCTTACATGCTTTAAAAGCCTGCTGCGGATCCCAGGTACAGATGAAACAATCCAGTCTTTCAGCAGCCGCGCTGCCCGAGCGTGAGGCAGCCTGGCACAGACCAGACTTCTTGGTTTCCATTTAATCTGCACCCAAGGACAACGAGAAATGCTTTAAAAGCCTGCTGCGGATCCCAGGTACAGATGAAACAATCCAGTCTTTCAGCAGCCGCGCTGCCCGAGCGTGAGGCAGCCTGGCACAGACCAGACTTCTGCACCCAAGGTCAACGAGAACATCTTGCACAGACTTTAAGTGGGGGTTTGGGGGGGTTGTGGGGTTGGTTTTTTTTGTTTGGTTGGTTTTTTAAAACTTCATCTTGGATGTGGGCTGGATAGCAATCGCAAAGATGTACTCAGATGAAAAAGAAAGGATGCTCTAAGTACAACACAGGGCAAAGAAAGTTTTTCTCGCTTAAGACAACAGCAACTTGTTTTTTTAATCCCTTGTGGCACTCTGAACCACTTAAGTGATTTTAAGTAGAAACAGCTTGAGAAGACAGAAGTAACTCTGTAATTTCCCTCTCCCTTCCCCGATGGAGCTGAGCACAGCGGGCTTGGAGCTGACGGTCTTGGAAAATAAACGAAAGGACGTATCACATGACTTTTTCTCCCCAAAAGGAGTGCACCAGCCATAGCTAACATATGTTTTCATATTGCTCCCACGCCCGCAGAAAACCGAGCAAAACCGGCACAGGCGCTGCACTGGAACGTCGAGGCTGACAAAAGCTTACAGCCGCGGATCCGGCCGGGGCGATGCCGGAGCCGGGCCCC